AATTTTTCACGGGGCGAGTGTTAGTGGGAAGTGCGGATTAGAGCCAGGCAAAATAGGCGCCCGTCGCTGAGCTATTTTCGGTACGAACGGACACTCTCAGCGAGGCTTGATGCTTGGTCTACGGTGGCTACTCGGTGGCATGTTAAGGCGTTGATGAATTTGCAGTTCTATTAGAATTGCGCCTAATGGGAAAGATGCACAATACAGTGCGCCTAAGGAGCTAATCACGGATGCCATCGTCATAAGTTACTTCGCTTTACTCGAAGCACTGCCGCGGGACAGAGTTGGATCTAATTGCACTTCTATGAATATGCGAGCATGGCGAGCATGGCGTAGAGTGGGAGCATGGCGCCGTGAATAGCGTGCCCAGCATGTTTTGCCGTGGAGCGACAGGTCGTAGATTCGAGTTCTGTTGGAAGTACGTTGGCATTTCCTGATGAGATTTCTGTGACAGAAACACGTCACTCAAGAGTGGACCCTGGCATAAAACACTTTCGTGCTAAAAAAGGAGCAGCGAGAAATCGTGACCACCATATCTACAAAGTGAAGGATGCTAGAGGAACTTGCTTGGAGATGATCGAGTAACCCGCCAATCTTCCGAACGCGTCTCTTAGCATCATATATCATGACAACCTTGGTATAAATATCGGGTTGTCCCCATACAGGGTCTTTCTTGGCTGTGAGCCCAATCTGCAGCTCCGTTGCGGCGTGTTGTGAGCCCTCCACGCTACTGCTTTGGCTTCTGAGGTGTCCATGCGGCCGAGCGCTAACGTGAGCACCAGGAGAAGAGAAAGGAACTGCCGGTGCTTACAGTGGTGAGCGCTGGATGGATTGATAGATGGATATGGCTGTACCCTTTAGATCGGGTGGTGGCTAGCGCCACCAAGCCGTAATACTTAATGAACCAAAAATTAGATATATTTTTTTTCTTTAAAAAGTGAGTTTGAGGATTCATTCTTTGCAGTGAAGAGTTTAATTTTCACTCGTGCCTTGACTTTAGCCACCAATCGGATAACCTCCTTCTAGTTAAGTCTACCCGCTTAATGTCTCTTTTGCCCTCACTGTTCCTAAACCCCAGTGCTTTGAAAAACTCTGCGCCATCATCCTGAACCTAGGGTTAAGCCCTTTACAGAAGTTTATCAAGTGTTCGGCAGTTTTTTCTTCCTCTCCACACGCACTGCATATTGTGTCTACCCCTTCGTATTTGGCCCGATATGTCTTGGTTCGCAGTACTCCCATCCTGGCCTCAAACAGTAGAGAACTACCCCGAGTATTATCATAGATCCTTTCCTTGGCAATTTCCTGCTTAAAAGTTCGATAGATCTCTAGTGCGGACTACTTAATCATGCCCATTCTCCACATGTCAGTGTCCGTTTCCTTCACACCGCTGCCTTCAGCGGTGGCGCGCCATCTACTGAGCATTCTTGAAATCACCGTAAAACCAACGCCTTGAGTAGTGGCACGCCATCAATTGAGCATTGTTGGAATCACCGGAGAGCCGAGCCTTAAGAGGCGGTGCGCCATTTTCAGTGAGCACTTCTGAAATCACGGGAGGGGCGTACATGCCACCGCCGCCGCCACCGGACAAGGCGCGAGTGTAAGAAGCGTGCCAAAGAAGCTCCTAAAGAGAAATTTGCCGACGCTTGCGATACTTCCATATGAGAATTCTCAAGAAAGCTGTTGGATGTTTTCGCTTTGAATTTTGTTCAGGAAATGCGCATGCAGGACGACGACACGGCAGGGAGTGATGGTGGTATAGAATGTTCAGCTTTCGCGTCAACTTTTAACCTGGTAAACATGGCGTTGCTGAATTCCGCCACTGCTGGCTGCCGCAAATGCTGTGCCAGACTGTAAAGGGCACATAAGTGTTCGCTGAAGCGTTCCACCCAGGCGGTGTGCCATCGACCAACACACGTCTTCTGCTCATAAGTCTGGCGAGAGGCATGCGCAGCGCATTCACAAGCAGCATGAGCAGACACGAGGATTCACAGATGCTAACGCAGCAGCTTACATGCTCACAAGTTGGGAGACTCCTTGAGGCAGTCTGTTTCGCTCGCTTTCGTCCTTGTTGGTGCTAGCAGTTACGCGAACAACGACGATGCCACTCAATGAACAAGCTGGCGTCTATTAGCTGCACTCTCAATGGGCCACAGAGTATATTCTCTAGGTATTCTTTTGATGACTTGATCCTTTCAAAATACCGATAGAATAAGCTTGATACATCATGCAGGCCTATATGCTTTGTGGTACTCCAAACCGGAAATATACATGTTAAAATTGCACTTCGAGATCACCCTCGCATGATTCCTTTCGATATCAGAGGCAATGTAAAGACGACTCGAGGACCGCAATGCCCCATGACGTCAACACTTAGGCGTCGTCAACCACGGCGATCCGTGTGCTTGACACCACGTGCAAATAAACACAACTTAATGCAGCCTGCATCACGCACGGGGTGCGGTGAGCGTAATTCATCGAATATGCCCGGCATGCATGCCAGTGCGGTACAGTGAGAAACGTTATTTCCCGCCTTCTGACTCATTTCACGAGCCCTATATCACGAGAATGCGTTGCAGACCATTGCCAGTTTCTTTAATGAATATATGCTCATTTTCTCTCACGTTTTCGCGGAAGTAAGTTTGAAGGAAGGCTGACCTTCACAACAATGTCTGAATTATTTGTTTCAGCTGCGTATAATGCCATTTCTCCGATTGTACATCTGCTCACTGACCAGGAAAAACCTGCGTGGGATACCTTCATTCGAGAGCAAGTCCGAAAACTACATGCTCCCGATGCTGGCAGAGGCCACTATCGAATGTTTGTAGTGAAAGCATCGTAATCACCACCAGAGGATTATGAAAAAGCCTCAACAACGGGTACGTTTGAATGAGATTTGGGAGAGCAAAAGGGCTCATGACCTCTCTCTCTCTCTCTCTCTCTCTCGATATATATATATATATATATATATATATATATATATATATATATATATATATATATATATATATATATACGTGTATATGCGTGGTGTGTGTAAAACATGTCGAAATTTATCTGGCGAGATCGTGGTCTCGAGCCTTAGCTGTTTCGGAGGGGCGTGTCCCGAATGCTCGACGTTGCCTAGCAATTTAGCGTGCGTTCTATCCCCCGTCTGCCACCGAGCACATCGTTCAGCACCACCAAAACCGATGCGTGCAGCTCTTGCGTAGTGGCGCAAATCCGCCTAATAAACGCGTTCGCTTCCATTCTTCCGAGCCTCCCAGTCTCCCGTCTGCCCTACCGTCCCCAGTATAGAGTGAAGTAGATCCTTGAAGTAAACAGTAACAACGGAAGCGTTTATTTCGATAGGCAGGCGAATCAAACAGACAATTATTTGTCCTCATCATTAACTGGTACGTGCTAGCTTCGTTAGTGTAATAAAGATATTGGAATATCGCTGTAATTGAGCCTGGTGGTCCCGGATTAGGAAATAGTCTCATGACGCGAATAGGATAAGGGAACTCTTGATCGCCAAGTAATACCAGTTCCACCGTGAATCCTGCCACAACTTTGCCTTCTGCTTGGAACAGAGGACTGGCCAATAAGTTTGGCAGCTCTGAAGTTTTAAACACACCAACGTCATGATTCCTGCCAGGTGACCCAACGTTTGTGTACAAGTATTCGTAGTGGTGATCAGCTAGAGCCAAAAAATGTTCCATACGATCCTGTATCATTTTTGTAGTCTGAAGCGTGCTCTAGTGGCGAGCACACTTCGATGTGGCAGCCGTCGAGGTCTTCTACACTCCGTAGAAAGCAAGTCACGACATTAAATTGGCGAAGATGTTCCTCCAACTCGCATCGCTTGGGGAACCTTTGTCGCAGCTTGTGCACAATGACAGCACAAAATTCACGAAATATGGTATTGACAATTGAACGACCGAGGCGAAAGGGGATATCGATGCCGCTGATGATGTCAGGTGATACAAACCAACAGCGACGCGTTTGTCTAGAGGAACTGCTCTTCGCATGGTGGTGTCTTGGCGCCCCTTGAACTCACACACACTTAGATTGTATCTGAACGATCTGCGTGTCACTCCCGAAAGAGTCCTGAATTCACTTTACGGCGGGTCGTTTGTACCACGACTGACCTCGTGGATATGTCCACGATCGTCTCTCGATGAAGCAAAACAGCAAACTAGTCACCGACACATCATCTCCGCGCCATCTCGCTCCTTTTCTGCTGTGTCGATTTCTTCAAGTACGCACAGTTGCTGATCAGGACGCTGATGAAGGGCTTCTTCGTACACCACGAACATTATCAAGAACTCGTCGTCCTCACGGCCACTTCATTCCACAACACCAGGCTGCGCCATTCATTTCCCCGTGGCCACCTACTTGAAGGTGCCACTGTGCGGTCTCACTGAGCTGGCTAACTCTAGTATGCTACTCAAATGATGGCAAGGTGTATATGGTAATCAATTGTCACGTTCCAATAAATAACAGCAAATTGCATGAATCTAGCCACCTGTGTTAGCGATCACATGGAGAAATCCAGCTATAGTGGCTTGAAAAGTGGTTACGAGGCTAACAGCGATCGATGTTGGAAGGCTGGCATCAATTTTCACTTAAGTTACAAAAAAAAAAAACACCCAGCGCATTCTGCGCACGTGTAGCAGCTCCTGCGTCCGGTTCACGATGACTGTGTTTACCTTAGGTAGCTGCAGTTGGGTGTAACAGCGGTCAAGGCCAGCCGTGTGACAAGAACTTGACACAGTCATGCATAGCACATCACAAGGTCTGATGACCTTACTTATCTTCTCCTAAAAGCAACAGGCAGATGTTCACTATTTTTCCTATACGGTACAAAGAGGGCTGCGTTTATTTCAGCAATGTGATAACCGGAATAACGGCATCATCGGCTTATACAAGCCTCCGGTCAAGTGTTGTACGATAAAACGAGCTCACAAAAAATAAAAAAAATATAGCCTACATCTGACAATCATTGTAATGCAAGCTGTTAAACATTGCAGTGGGGCAGTACTTCCCTTACTGCCCACCTCGTCACAGCATCTGTCTTCGCTGAGGCTGCTGTGCAGGAAAGTGGCCGTTGTCGGTAAGACTGCAGTTCCTACTTGATATGACCACTGCCTCACAGTTTTCCATGCTTGCAATGAAGTTTTTATGCTGTATATATACAGACTTTCGAGAAATGCTGGTGCATATACAAAGAAAACAGTGTTCGAAGGAGGTAGCTAACTACAAGCTAGTAAGTAGACACTCCAAAACCATCTCATTCAACCTGGAGTCTTTCAAATCAATGAGGAATAGGAAGTATTAACAATAAAACCCATCAAAGCCAATACTGTCCCGTACGCATGTACAAGGCGAGGTCTGAGCCACATGAAATGGCAGGCTTGTGAAAGTGATCTCCTAAATTTCCGTTTCCCGCGATGCGAATACACGTCATCAACTTCTTAACGGAAAACGCTCGTTTTCTGTAGCGTTCTTTTTTTTCTTACATTAGACTGTCATTCATCTCTACTGGATGGTTAAGGTTCAGCGTAGTGGCCTGTCTAAGGCAAGGAGGCTATATATTGTCACGTTTCTCACGACAAACTTGATACAATGGGCTCGTCGAGTCGACTAGCCAAGCAGCAGCTCAGATAGATCGTCTTTGTCCTCTTTCACTCATCGATCTCACCCAAGCGAACCATGTGACGACCAAATTTCGGCCTTACCTCTACGGTCGTCCCTTCAAAGTGGTGACTGACCACCATTCGCTCTGCTGGCTGGCAAATCTCAGAGATCCATCCGGCCGTCTCGCTCGGTGGAGTTTGCATTTGCAGGAGTTCGATATTACGATTGTGTACAGGTCAGGGCGCAAACACAAAGACGCCGACACGCTTTCTCGAGCGCCTGCGGGGCACGCTGTCAGGGGCTCCGAGGATGAAGATGCCTTTCTCGGAGCAGTTAGCGATTCCGAATTTATGTTAAAACAGCAGGCAGACGACGAATTACGCCCAGTCATTGATTCCCTGGAAGGTCGCAACTCTCAGGTCCCTCAACACATCGCTCGCGAACTGTTCTCTTTTTGTCTAAGAAGAGGCACTCTTTACAAGAAAAACGCCCGTGGTAGCGACAAAGCCTTCCTACTCGTTGTTCCTACCGACATGCGTGATGAGATCCTTCTTGCTTCTTGCGTGCCACGACGAGCCCACACCAGGACATTTGGGCTATTCGCGATAAATGTGACCACCCTCACCACAATGATAGCAGAGGGGTCGTCTGTAGGGCGTACGCCAGAGATCAGACTTGCGCGTTGGTGCACGCCGACTATCGATGTCCAAATCAGCGTGCGCTGACTGAATCGCGACTGACAGCATCATTGTCTGGATCGGGACGTATGGCATTGTCTGGATCGGGACGTGCGGCACTGTCTGGATCGGGACGTGCGGCACTGGCTGGATCGGGACGGGTGGCACTGTCTGGGTCGGGACTCCTTGACCAGAAAGAGGCGTGGCAGATCGCAAGGTTTCCGCGTACGTACGACGGCGACTGTCAGTAGACACAGGAGTCGTTTCCGGATCAACCGACATCGGCGGAAAACGATGGGCGTGCAGCACCTGCTGGACCTCGTCACGGATGACACTGGTGATAGAACTGACGTTAATTTGCCTTGTCCTGTACATCTTTTCCATTTCTTCCCGGGCAACAGAGCGGTGACCTCGCGAATCTATTCGGAGCTCTTGCTCCCAGGGGTGGCGAAAATTTCGGGAGTTGAGGCAGCATTCACTTGATGGTCAAACAGGGCAGATCGTTGGTGCAGTACTCGCTCCATTGTTGCCGCTTCAATAAGGAACTCAGCAACACTCTTGGGGGGATTACGCACCAAACCAGCAAAAAGTTGTTCCTTCACACCACGCATGAGGTGGCGCAACTCTTTATCTTCTGCCATAGTAGGATCCACTCGCTTGGAAAGCCGTATCATGTCCTCGACGTACATCGAGACGGTCTCGTTGGGCATCTGGACGCGTGATTGTAGTGCACGCTCCGCCCGTTCGCGGCGGTCGGGACTCCTGTAGGTCTCCAGAAGGCGACGCTGGAACTCGCGCCAAGATGTCAGAACATCATCCCTGTTCCAAAACCACGTCTTGGCACCGTCCTTTAAGCAAGTGTACACGTTCCGGAGCTTCGCGGCATCATCCCAGTAATTTATCGCTGCGACACGTTCGAACTCACTCAGCCAGTCGTCAACATCTTCATGCTGCTCTCCGTGAAAGGGGCTAGGCATGAGCGGGTTCTGGACGGTGAAGTAGATCGGCGTGGAAGGTGTCGGAGCTTGCACGGGATATTTTGTTGAAGTCATAGTCGCTGCGTCAGTGGTTGGTGTCTCAGGCGGTAGGCCTCGTTGGCGGCGGCTTACTCTGTGAACAGGAGTGTCCACGGGTGCAGGGCTTGTGTTACGGCTGCTGGGCGGAGTCTTGGGCATCGAGTGAATCGTGAGACGTTGTACCCAGCAACTCCACCAGTCTCGTCACGTTTCTCACGACAAACTTGATACAATGGGCTCGTCGATGATGATGATGATGATGACCTCTTATGGATGGCGCTCACCCACAAAGGGGGATGGGCCAAGAACCGGGCGGCAGGATACTTAATTGAAACTAAAATGAAAATGAAGCCAATCTGAAAAAGTAGTTCAAAAATAATACTACCAAAAAAAAAACAAAAATATTTGCTGAGCAAGCGGTCAAACCATCTCTTGTTTTTGAAAGCGATAACTACGAATTATAAACTAAAAATCTGAAAAGGTTGGGGTCCACTAGCACGGTAATCTTTTAGCTGCATTGATGTAATCAAACACAGTGGAGCATACATCCCTGTGGCAGTAACCAAATGAAGTTCCGCCAAGTGATAAAATTACTGGTAGATTTACTTGTATGCCTAGCTTTTGTATTGGGGCTACTAAAAATCGTTTTCTCTGATAAGAATAACGATGGCAGAATAAAAAGAAATCTTCAATTGTTTCAATTTACTTGCACCAAATGCATAGCGGTGACGCCTTGAGTCGAGCTTTGTTAAGGTAATAATTTAGTTGTGGAACTGCACAGCGCAATCTGGTATAAGTGACCTCTAACTGGCGAGATACACACCACTGTTTATTCCAGCAATAGCTCAAATGCTCAAAACCTTTGAATGTATCCAAATTACATTTTTCCCACTGCAGGCAAGCGTTTCGGAACCTTAGCACTGTCACGTAAGCCGTATCTGGCAAAACTGGGATGGTGGGCCCACCCATGGATACTGCTGCTAAAGAGTCCGCCATTTCGTTCAAATATAATCCGCGGTGGCCCGGTACACATAGCAAATGCAGTTTTTTTACGTTTTTAGGTACTAAATGCCGAAACGTATTCATCAGCTCTACATTTACTGCCGCAGAAAGTGCATTACAAACTGCTAACGAATCTGTAATGATAACTGCTAATGATTCGCTTGAGGGCAATTTGCGTAGGGCAAGAACAATGGCCAATAATTCTGCAATGAATACTGGGGTATAATCTGGGAGTCGAATCGAAAAGAACCAGTCCGAAGAAGGAGAGAAGATGCCAACCCCAGCCTTTTCGTTTGACACAGATGCATCAGTCGCAATGATATTGCTTATTTCTAGGTGAGCTAGATAATCAGCTAACTGGTCATTTAAATACCTATGTGCCAATTGTTTTGCGTTATGAGGAAATATATCATCAAATTGTATGCTAAGCATTGACTTTAGGTTGTGTATTGGACCCATATGTTTAATTTTTACATTCAATTGCTGTAGTAGCGCTTGTGGAAATACTATTTGCGGGGTGCGTAGTCGCGGCCGATGGGTTTCGAAAAATAAAGCCGGTTCTTGAATGAAAGCGTAAAATGAGAGTCTTTGGTGTGAACTGTATATCTTTAAGAATGCTTGCGCAGTAAGAATTTTAAACCTATTTATCAAAGAAGGTAGGCGAGCTTCCATATACAACACGTTATTTGCCACAAACTTTGGTAGACCCAGAAACAAACGCAACGCTTCTCTTTCCAGCAGTATTAGGGGTCTCATTTTATAAGCTGCGCTGCCAGAAAATAATACACATCCGAATTCCATGATGGGCCGCACATAAAGTTCATATATCATTATTAGCACATCTCTTCTTAAACCCGCTTTACGGTTTGCAAGCTTCCGTAGCCACCCCATGGCCCGTGTTGCCTTGGAGTGCACATCATCAATGTGATTTCTCCAATTTAATGTGTCATTATTATGATGCCCAAATATTTAAGGGAATTCGCCTGCGGAATGAGCTCATTACTGTACATTAACGAGATGTTGATAGGCTGCAGAAAAGAGAATGCAAGAAGCCCACTTTTCTTTACGTTCAGGGTCATACGAATGTTTTTAAGCCATCTTTCTATGATATTAAGATAATTTTGTAGACTCTGGTATAGGGATTGAAGGTCGGCATTACTTGCAAAGAAAGATATCGTCCGCGTACACATATAAGTGAATATCCTTAGGTGATGGAATGGGGCTTAAGAAAATGTTAAATAAAACTAAAGCAGTAATATTCTTTCCCTCTTAGAAACTCCGACACCCACGCAGTGATGTAGTTGGGAAAGTGGTGATATTCCATCTGTTTTAATAAAATTGAATGCTCAACTCTATCGTACGCTTTAGCCAAATCTAGAGTAACTAAAGCACAATATTGGCGCCGACGCCGAGCCAGTTGTATTCGGCTCTCTAAATCAACATGCGCACACCATATTGAGCAACCGGATCTAAATATAATTTGACTGGGGTGTAATATTGCGTTGTTATCAATATATTTCATTACCCGGGCATTCAGAACTCTTTCAATTAGCTTAACCAGATTCGACGTGAGTGATATTGGCCTTACATTGTCCAAGGCGAATCCTTTTTCCTGCTTTTTAAGAAGTGGAATCACTTGAGACAGCTTCCATTCCGCAGGTATCCAAGCTTTTGTCAAAGAAAAATTCACCAGATTAAGTACTTCAGATGGACAAATCTCGAATATAACTTTTATCATTGCATTTGTTACCCCGTCTGGTCCAGGTGCTGAAGGAGATAAG